GGGGGCAGCACTGCAGGGGGGGTCTCACCAGAGCGGAGCAGAGGGGGACAATCCCCTCCCTCGCCCTGCTGCTCACGCTGCTGGTGATGCAGCTCAGGACACGGTTGACTTTCTGGGCTGCAAGGACCAGGTCGTGTTGAGCTTCTCCTCCCCCAGCACTACCAAGTCCTTCTCAGGGCTGCTCTCAATCCATTCCCCTCCCAGCCTGTGTTTGTGCTGGGGGTTGCCCTGACAGAGGTGCACTTGGGTGCAGCCCCAGCCTTGCACGTGGCCTTGTTGAACATGGGCCCATCCCTCAAGCCTGTCAAGGTCCCTGTGAATGGTCCTCTCCTCCCACTGAAGGCCACCTCCTGCCCAGCTCTCACTCAGCCCAGGGCCAACTCTCTGTCCCCTCTACACCCAGGATGTCACACACCCCTCAGCCTCTGCGGCTGCATCCCCAGCACCCAGTGCTGCAGGAGAGCCCAGTGCCTGTGCAAGAGCTCGTACCTGGCCGTACGCCAGCACGGTGGCATTGTAGCCCTCGAAGCAGCCTTCGATGAGCTTGCCCACACACTTCGTGGAGATTTGCTCCTGCCATGTGTCCAGGTCAAAGACAAAGTCGTAGGTGAAGGCTTTGTCCTTCCCCAGCAGCACCTGGGGCTCGCCGGGCGTCACCGAGGTGCAGATGTGACATCCCTCTATTTTCTCTTTGGACAGCTGGGGACGGATCCTGCAGGAAGAGGAGTGGGCTGAGGGCAGCCTTGGGGCTCACCCCGGTCCTGGGGGACACGAGCCTGGTCCATGCTCGGACCGTGGCTGCTGCAGGCAGGTATGAGCAGCACCTCTGCCTGCAGGGTGGAGCAAGCAGCGCAGGGGATGCTTCAACCCCTGCACCCAGCGATGTCCGTGATCCATCTGTGGCTGAGAAAAGAGGCTGGTGCATCCCAGCAATGCCACCAGCCACCTCCGCAGCCGAGGTGACAGGCAGGGCTGGGTCCCACAGCACAGGCAGAGCTGGTAACGACACGCAGTCTGAACTTAAAACTGCCCTTGCACCCACAGCTGAATACGGCCCAGCACAGCCCGTATGGGGCCAGCCAGCCTCCCCACGCCTCTGCTGGCTCATGCACCGCGATGCCCCCAGCCAGGCAGCGAGCTCTGGGCTGCACATAGACACGGATCAATACATCGAAGCAGCCCTGATGGGGAGTGCCAGGGTACGGGCGGGCAGTCGGGACGTGTTGCAGCCAGCTGTGCTCGTTTCAGAGGCAGCGAGATCAAACTGCAGTTACAAAGGCTTGAAATGCAAAAATATTGTGATGGGTTCGCCCTTGGCTGGGAGCCAACCCCACACAACCCCTTCACTCACCCTCCTGCCTCCCCAGGATGGGGGAGAAAATGAAAGGGGTGAAGGGAAAAAAGGATTTGTGGGTTGAGGT